CCCCCCTCTTTTCAGGTCACTCTCTCAGAATGCAGATTCGTATTCGTCTCCTTACCTCTGGGCCACCAGTCTCTCCGACGCAGACTGCCGATGACTAACACGAATTGTTTTAACGGGCAAGCCGTGTCATCCCTACCAAAGATGGAATGGAGCAGCAAAGCTCCTGACACGTTTCATTCTCACTTGCCTGAGATCGGATCGGACCAACTCGTGACCAACTTCATGTTCCCCGTATACCTACACATTGTACCCGTAGCTACCTTCAGGAAGGTAGAACGTCTTGTCTTGCCTGGTCGTTTGGATTGATCCCAGATGAGGGCTGGAAGGGGGGGGGGCTTGTGTGTTTTAACGGTTAGGGGGTTTTCGGTCGTATACCGTGGGAAGCACAGGAAGCACCGCCAAACCATGGCACACCAGGGCACCACGTTTGCACCCAGGTACAAGTGTGCGCTGGCATTCCACCAGTTGCGCATACTCGTCCCCTACGGGGCAAATGCCACCAAGAATAAGGGTGTCTCGGTTTCCCCCTAACTCAGTCCACTGAATCCCCTAACGCCTGTTCCCCATACGTTAGGGTACGCGCACAGTCATCCTGTGCGAATAAATATACAAGCCACCGACACGACGATTCGTCTGAGCTGGCACGTTGAAAAAAAAAAAGCCATACGCACGTATGTAAGTCTCTACCTTCTTCCCCTCTGCCCCTCTGTCGCTTCTACCGGTGCGCACGCATGCGACTCACGCTCTCATGAATGGGAAGCCTTCGTCTTCTCCTCTCTCTGTATAACCAGTGAATGGTCCACCGGAAACGGCTGGTTACACCCCGTTTCCGTCGTACCACGAGCACGTATCGCGTGGAAAAGGATAGCGGTGACGTGGACTCCGTTGTGTTTATCTGCTTCTGTCACGATTTGCACGAATGACACTGCCACACGTGTGTGTGTCCCCTTCACCAATAACGGTCACGGTTTTCGCAGTCCTTGACATTACGAGGACTGCAAAAAAAAAACGACTCTACGGAGTTCGGTAAAAGAGCGAATGGTGGCTAACGGCACGTAAACATAACCTCTTGATTTCGTAAGTCACCCAAGTCCACCCCGATCTCGCGGGACAAAGTCCTCGCTCAGTCTGGTCGAATTCTTTCTAGTAAATTAAAAAATGTCTATTCGTTGCTACATCAGCCTCCCGTCACGCCACCTAACCTCACTCTCGAGGTGTCTGCCAAACGTCAACCAGCGTGTGCATCTTCTGCTTCTCTTTCTCCTCTTTCTGTCGCACGCAGCAGTTATTCCTGTTTTACTCTGTTACACGTTAATCCCCCTTGTGGCTTCTGACTCACACCAGATGCTCATACGCACTCGTTAACCGACACATTGCTTTGCCCACTCGAAAAAGCGCCCTTTGTATCTATCTCTCTCTCTCTCTCTCTCACATCCATTCTTCACTAGTCCCCCTCCGTCTGTCCCTCCCTAATCTCTAGCTCCTACACAATGTGACTAGGCACCTAACCGGCTATTAACAGCCGTTGATTCACTCTCCTCTGATTTGTTCGTGCGCGTTGTGTCTGTACGCGTTTACGGGGTTCCCGGATCATCGGCCTCGCCGGAGATCAAGGTGATGCTGGTCTGGTGTGCATGCAGAAGACACGTAATCAACGGACGCTCTATGGAATTTGTTTTCATTTTTTTTCCCCGCTTCCTTCTCTCTTAGGCCGTCTGACCGTGACTCCTCGGGACTCATAATTTGTCTTTGCTATTGCGCAACTGCCCCAGAAGCTTTCGACGCGTCATCGATACGACTTGTAATATTATGAAATTTGTATTTCTGATACGAGGAAGTGTTGACCCTTGCGCAAGGAGGCACAGCTTCCTTATCGGTTGACGCGGCGGTCTGAACGGGACGTCGGGGAGGGCTCGAAATGGAAATGTTAACTCGCCTTTGGCCAAAGGGTGATAACGATTGTCTCGAGATTCAATTGGGGTTGTTTGGTACCACCGGGTCTACCTGGACCAGAGGAGAAAGACTTGCTTTTGCGTATTAGGTGGTAGAGTACTGTAGTGTAACGGTCAGCCAGGTCAGAAACGTGGAGTCGCTGAGAAGTTCGTAACTGCATAGGATCCGGGCGCACCAGTGAGTCACTGGTGATACGATAGCGTCCCCCATGTGTTACGTAACTGGATCGCCTGTTTGGGTTAGACGAGGAACGACTCGTTTGCTCGTTGTAACGCTGTTAATGCACTAGCTGGTGAATTGTCGGATCTTATGGGTCAGCAGGAAGAGGAGTGCCAGGCGTGTCCTGGAGCAATGTCATTGGAATTTATACTTGGTTGTATCTTGGACGATTAATTTGACCGTCCGACACGTAACTCGGGAGCTTTGTTTTTCTTGTTCCGATCTTGTCGATGTAGATTCTTATTTTTTGTGTCTTTTGTTGTTACAGAGGAAGCCCGGAAAGCAGGCAGCAGTGTGCTGGTACATTGTCAAGCCGGTGTCTCCCGCAGCGCCACCATCGCCATCGCCTACATTATGCGGCACAAGGGTCTCTCGATGGTCGAGGCGTACAAACTTGTAAAGAACGCACGACCCATTATCAGCCCTAACCTGAACTTCATGGGTCAGTTGCTGGAACTGGAACAGGGCCTGAGGGCGGCTGGTGGTGTCGCTGCGCCCCAGGATGAGCCTAAGGGGTGTCATCAGTGCCGCTGGCGACAGAATAACGAGGAAGTCACTTCTGGATGCAGTGTTTGAGGTTAAATACAAAGTTTTCGAGAGGGATTCTCTGTACCTGTCGTCGTCGTCGTCGTCGTCGTGGGAAGCGACAAGAAATCCCTCGGAAATCAAAGTACACATATCCTAACCTATTTGCGGATAATACCGACTACGTTTTAACGTGCCTTGGTCAAATCGCCAGAATCGTAAAGGCTGATCGTCACGTGCATACACGGTAATATTAATACCCTTAACTTGTTATGCGCGCGCGCGCGCGCACGCTTACCGATTATACAAATCAATAAGAATCAGTGACAGATGTGTTGTGTGACGCGCGTCAAGAAGAGATGACGAACGAGAGAGAATGAGAGAGTTTACAAAAAAAATTAGAGTGTAAGGCAAGGGGCGAGAGAGAAAGAGAGAGGGGGGGAAATGGGAGAATGAAGAAGGAGAGTGTAAATAAAGGAGTGGTGCGCATGCGCGCGAACTTTGGAAGAATAAAAATCATCCGATTAATGAATATGAGTTAGCGGAATGAAGTTGTCCTCGATTTAACCGTCAATGACGCAGGAGATGATCGAAACTGATCACGAGCGATATGAATATCGATTATCGATATGCCTTTGTTGGGATTTGAACTGTCCGCTGATGTCGGTTTCGTTAATCGAACAGTTTATTCGTTGCGCCGCCGTCGTGCATACATTTTCATTTAATTCAAACTTTTATACTAGTTCTTCCTGATGACGCGCGCGCGCGCCCTCGCGTCGAGACACTTTTTTATTTATTGCGGCTTGCGGAAATAGTGAAATCTTGTGTACTTAGGATATTCGTTGTGTCATGGATAAAAATGGCGTCGAGCAGAGTGCGATGGACTAATGTTGGACAAACGCAAGCAATTTGTTTTGCAATTTGGTAATGCGACGAGAGACAGTCGATATGTCCGCGGGTTCAGCTTACCGAACGTTTTATTCGATTTGAGGTGGATGATTATTGACAACCGGATCAGAGGGACGCCCGGGGTGTCGTTGATCAGGGATAACTCATTTTGATTTATGTCGGGGGCATGATCGTTTAGTTGTGGATGGGAAAGATAAAAGTTTTGGAAAAACAAAAAAAAAGGAAAATAGTCTCGCGACGCGGTACGTTTTATCGTTTGCGTTAGCCGTTCTTAGGTCGTATCTGTATTTTTTAACTGTATGTATAGCGTGGATAAGTCGTGCGACACAAATCTAGTAGCCCCACGGTGGTTTATAATGTATGATGAATATAATATATCGTTAGAGATATAATTAGATTCTAAGGAACTTTAGCATTTAAGGATCCGGTTGTGATCCAACCGTCGTGATCTAGTCGTTTTGTTGGGATACAATGTGTGTGTTGGGTTAGGATACAAGCTACGATATATCTATAGAGAACCGGAATTGATAAAGGGAGAAAAAGCTGATAAAGAGAAATGATAAGGAGAATGCGATGAGAAATGTGGAAAAAATTACTCGCGTATCGGTTGTCAGCCTAATTGTTGGTTCGTTTAAAGGACAAAAGAAAAAGTGAAAAGAGCGGCGAATTCAAATAACGAAGGAGAAAGCGCACCGGGGATATATCGGATTTTTATGTTTTTATGTTTTTTTTTTTTTTTTTTCGTCTCACGTGCACCTTAAAAGTGTCTCGAGAATTCTACGCTTTCTTTCTCGAGGCTTCGACGTAGAACGAAATAATGTCGCGTGTCGAATAAACGAATGTCATTCGATTAAATTGTCCCTCGTAGTTGCTTGTTAAAGAATTTTCTTTGGGATTTCATTACTGTCGTAAACAAACTTAGCTTATACGCAAAGAAATTGTTGATTTGTTTTCTCCAGTTGATTTCGATTAATCAGTATGAAATGGCTGTATGTAAATTATCGTAAAACTGTAAACAAAATACAGTGGCGAATGTGACAAGCGTGCGCGAGGATCAAGAGTGCGAAGTTTACGTATGAAAAGCTCGTCTTATTCGTTTCGTTTAATATTTTCGTAACTCGCAACTATCGACAATAAGTGTGTGAAGGAAAACGTTATAAATACGTGGGCGATTTATTTTAATGGAAACGGTCTACTACTCTGTCTCTGAGTACTCTAAGGAGATACAGTATGGTATACGGCTATGCCGTATGAAGTCGGTGTGACTAATCAAAGTTCCTTCGAACTCGTCTTGTTCTCTCTCATAAATGAAACGGTAATGGAAATGATAAGGAAACGGTACATATCAAGAGACAATGCGGTGTTGATATCCCCCTTTCACTTCTCTCTAGATGAGATTTGAAAATTGGACTTGACGCCAGGATACGTAAAATAAAAGGAAAGGTAACTTAAAGCGAAGGTGGAGTACGCCATGAGATGTCTTCCTAAGGGATCTATCTCTCTCAAAGCTCCAGATGCCTCGAGACGCAGGGATGCTGTAGCTTTATTATTATCGTCTATATGCATATAGCGTGCCTGATAAAAAGCGTCTCATCCCTTCTCGATCGTTAGGAACAAGAGAAAATAACCAATGCACAATGACTATATGGGGTGGTAATCGAGCGAACATGTAAATAAGTTTTATTATTAAGGGATACCCCTACTAAGGACCAGTGTGCGTGTGTCCTTGTGTACAGGCCTTAATACTAAATACTGGGGGACATTTTTTTTTAAAGTTCATTCAAAGTGGGGGGCGAGATCTTCTGTTGGCTTCGGTCACAAATTTTAATTCGGTGGTTTTGAACGGATTAGAGGCGTGCAGTACCTGTTGCGTCATGCGGATGCCTGTATATAAGTGTGCCTATAACTATATATAAGTATGCCTCCTCATTTGTTAATGAGTACATAAGAAACTGCCTTAATGACTGGACAATCTTGTACTTTGATGTCGGACGCATATAGTATGTTTTTTTTTTTTTTTTTTTTTGAGAGAGAGTACCGTGAGGTGTACTTCAAGCGATGATCTAACACGTATAACTTTTTTCCTTTGAGTTTTCTTTTCTCAATTTAGAATGAGGAGGTTTGCACCGTACAGGCGCGCCTGAATATATATGAGAACGCTAATCGGATCCCAACGATTTTGTAATATATAGTTGCGTGTAGCGAATGATGTAGGAGTAACATATTGTATAACTATGCGTAAGTGAACGCGAGTATTGTACTATATCAAAATTTATTTAGTTATTTTATGAATAAAAAAAAACGCAATCTCCAAATTCAATTTGTATATTTATTATTATTATATCATTACAGTTCATATTGAAATTTTAACAAGGACAATTAAGATGCTGGAATCAATTGTTTTATGAGGTAAGTGGATATTGGAAAATTTATTAAATAAATATTTTACAGCTATACTTGAATCGAAATTGTATCTTTATTTGCTCTTTATCGACTACTCACAATAATAATAGTAATAATAATAATAATAATAATAATAATTGATTGTGCATATGCTGCCATTGAAAAACGTAAATAAAAGAATTTTTGATTTTCTCTCACCCCTTCCATCGTATGCCTATTCAGTCATTCAAGTCCTACATTCATTCCTGACCAAAAACGAAAAAGCAAAAGGCAATCATACGCACTCTTATCCATTTCTTTATTCTCAGTCTCTCTCGCTGCCTTTTTATTAATTAAACGTGAATTAATCGCAGTAACAACTAATAGTAACTAAAGATAATGTTATATCGCAAGCCACTTTTAGCCTTCGTTCATGAAGATGAGTCTCTTTACATATTCAATATATAATATGTTACAGTTACGTTATCTTGTTTTTGCTAATTCACATACAGTATCTTCCTCTGTGTTTTCTTCAGTTATCTGTTTACTAACATACGTGCATTGGATTGAGTGTAGATTTTGCCAATAAACGATTCATCCTTTTCAAACCTGATTACAAATAATATTTGCAAAATAGTATGTATTTTTTGCTGCTAACCTTTTAATCATAAAATATATCTCACTTATCGGATAATTGATTGGTTATTAGTTGGCTTGTCTTGCTGGAAGTTAAAATTATTCCATGTTTTCATGGAATACTGAGATCAACTGCTGCATCGATGCATCCAAGATTCAAGTGAATCGAAGTAATTCTTTTGGGTTGATGTATCCAGAAGCACCGTAAGACATGTTTTCTCATTAGCACAAGTAATTAAGCTCCTTGATTTGTATTACTATAACCAGTACCTATAGTACTCTGAAACGTGAATTATAGCGACGTAACAACGATCCTGGCCAGTGTGCTCTACTTGTAATCGTAACTAGTCATATAACAAAGTTGCACTATCGTCTTAATACATATAGAATTTTTTTCATTACTGTTCAATTTAACATTCCAGCATGACACAAGGGAATAAACACTACTAAACGACCAAGACCAAAATTCATAGTTTAGTGTATCCGGTGTAAAACGGAAGTGTCGTTGCGTCAGTGGAAAAAAAAGAAGCCAGTTCAAAAGAAAAGATATCTTCACACCGAACAATCTTTGAATTACAATGATAAATATTGTCTGGCAGGGAACAAATTTGATTTTTGCACACCTAATATTATTTCTAACCTGTTCAGCATTTTGCTCGAATAGCACTGGCGATACAATAATTGTTTGAAATGACAGTAATTCAAAGTCTCCGTATTTATCGATATTCTTCTTAAGATTAATAAGTAATTCGATAATCGATTAACTAATATAATATAGCTTGTTAATTGTGAACCCACAAGAAAATCTAGTGAGAGGGGGAGGCTCTGGCAGCAGGGTAACAGGATAAGTTTTATAGCTATGCAAATTCTTACTCGATTCTTTCAGTTACTCGCCAAAGCTGCCATTGCTCTTATGAGAGCTGCATTCTCTTCGCGAAGCCGTTCGCGCTCCAGGGCCATTTCGTGCTGCTGCTGAAGAAGACGCGCCTCCAAAGCCATTATCTTATGATCCCGATCCTCGAGTAGCGATAACAATCTTCTATTTTCCTCTTGTGCTCGCTCTATCAGCTGTAATTATTATTATTGATATAAGATTGAAAGTTTAGATAATTTAAGCTATCAGAGAACTCATTTCTTAAGATGTAGTTTTGACTCGTATTATATCCAAGATGAAACTACAGAATCGGATGAGTTAACTGATTAGACCAGAAAATATTGACGGTATAAAATGCATGTTTTATCATCTATCAAGAGAAAGACTTACTTCGTGGGGGTTATCTCCGGTCGGGGTAGGCAACCTAGGTCTATTGACAGTCGAAGTTGACTGTGGCTCATGATTTCCATGATCTGATTGATTCACACTGTCGGATTGATTCAGTGAGTCAAACTCCTCGTCATCGGCTTCTAGATCTGAGTGACTGAAATAAAATATAGGAATCACATACCAAAGAAAAAAAACTCTACTGTTGAACGAGTCAAAACAAAAAGTTCTAAAGCAGAACGAAATAAAGTTAAAGATTAACATAGATAAGCTACCCTATGTCTGTGCCTCTTGAGGTATGCTATATATCTTTCTATTTTTGAAATCTTTATCATGGGTCTATATGGTTCTATGTTTGCTACAATTTTTTACATAGACATTCCCATAAATATGAATGTGCACGCAGGATTTTCTTTTTCTTGTTTTTTTCTAAATCAAATACACAGCACTACCGTTCTTTGTACAGGTTTTATCTAACTGTACTCTTTGAAGAGTACATTGGTGCACTTACAAGCAGTGTCTAATTGTACATCACCTGTACGAACTACGGTAGTGCCTAAAAATGATAAAGAATTTGTCATGCAATTGTTAGCACTAATGAAGTAGCATTCATGACTCATCATGGAAACAAGTATCATTACCTTTTGTTTCTTCTCTGAGCGTAAACCTTCGTTGCCCTTTCCTGAAACATAGAGAAATTTACATTGTACGTATATCCATATGAACGATTAGAAAATAAAAGTGATTGGACAAATTTGTATAATACATTGTCTTAATTTAGGGATAAATATTTCGTAGAGGTACTACAAAGGGCATATAACAACGTGTTAGAAAATAGCAAAGTGGGCAACATTCCTCTCTTACTATTTCTGATATCTTTCGTAAACATGCTTAACTAATTTGGTTTATCAGTTTATCAGTTTTTAATGGGACGTGTCGTTTTGAATTTTGAAAGTAAACGAAAAAAACAACTGTATTCCCTTTAACCTGTATGACCTTTGTTCAAAAGGCGAGTGAAAAAGTATTAAGCAGGCTTTCTTTAAACTAATTTGTATTTAAATATTTTATACCGGCTTATGATCATCCGTATTATCATTGACTCTATAACGTAGATTTATCTATTGATTGGACTTACTTCGATGAGTTCGTGATCAAGGAACTCGTTATGGTGCGTATTGTGCTTCGTTTCAAGACAAGTACCGCTCAATTCTTCCTCGTCTTCTCCCGTACTACCTCCGGTGCTCTATGCATCCAAATAATTATAAGAATTACGTTCTGACTACAGCCAAATGATCATCGATGGATGAATTAATAAATGTCCCAGCGTAGCAGAAAAGATAGTACTAATTATAGTAGGTCCAGTTAAAATGATAAAAGCGTATCAATCTTAGGATCATCTGAAACCTTACGAGAACTAGATAATTAAGTACGTTCAGAAAGAGTACAGTTTTTCTTTTGGTTAATGGAAAATATGCTAAAATAATTAAGGAATATTGACAGTGCTTATTCAATTGGAATAGTTGTAAGTCGTGGCAACTTATGAAAGTAACTTAATGCACATGCTATCGTGTAATGAAAGGTCATGCAAAATTCTCCATACCAAACATTCACCTGAAATGTATGCAACTCACCTCTGTAGATGGCAAATGTACTACTCCTGTGCTGCGTCTCTTTTCCCTGAGCTTTCTTCTATCCCGTTGCTGCTTTCCCTTGTTTATGTGTGTTGGCCTGCGCAAACAGGATACACTAAAGAAACTAGAACCAAATCCACAAACTATTAGAAGGCTACAATGTCAAGTAATCACAAATTTCCTAACAAGCAAAGAACTGCAGTTCGATACTATTCGCAACACTCTTTTGATCATGTGAATTACCTGTTGGACAAATTGACACTACATATCTCACTTACCGACCAGCTACTCGCTTATCTTGTTTTCTCATAATAGGTTTATTTTGTTGCACATCATGTTCTGGTAACAGAACACAATTGGAACTGGAATCGCACACACCTTGAGCTTCCTCCTCAGCTGCATTTTCTGAAAACCATTAATATTACTTACTTTCATAACCGTACAACTAATCGATTGTGCTAGAGTCCAAAAACCTAAAATAAAATAAAAATAAAAAATAAAAATAATTACTTACTTTGAAAATTAATGGAAGACACGTCTCCAGCTCTGGGTGGTACCACACGTGCCCGTGCTGTTCTGATCCTGGATCTACGTGAGGTGAGTTCGAAATCATTATCAAAATCTTCCTGGCTGACAGAACTGGATGCCATGCCGGCGATGTCGCTGAAATACAGATACAAAGCGATAAATCAAGTGTGGCATCAATGAGCATGAGAAGGTGAGTGCAAATAAAATAAAAGGCATTCTTACAAAAAATACCTGGACATCTGAACAAAGGGGTAGGTGATGTGGTGCGATACCTGTTGTTGACCGACGTTTAATTCTCGATCGAAAGACGTATGCTTTCGGTTGAGATTCTAAAGGAGGGCACAAAGCATGAATCGTTTTCACACTAGGAGTGAGTGCAAGGCGGTGAGGATGCCGATCGCGTGACTGCAAGCGTTATACTTTCGATTCAGGTTACCTATGCGGCCACAAAGTTTTCTTTCTTCTACCGAAGAACAGGAGAAGTGTGGAGAAGTGACAGGCGTCGTGACTCACTACGGACTTATGCTCAATTGACAGCTGTCAACCGTTGGTCGGTCATAAACACGTACAGTCCGCGACAACTACACAGTATATAGATAGAGAGAGGCATATTGATCTTGGAACACGCGCATTAAAGGACAGTTTCTATGAACGAAATTTTTATTCTGCCAAATTTTCGACAATTCATTTCCATCGAATCCACCACCCCTGCTTTTTTATTTAAACTTTCATGTCCAGAATATTACCGCCATTTTTTACAATTTCCTTTCTCTAATATGACATTCTCTAAAATTTCTTCCGAAAGACAAATGGATATTCGTGAAGCGAACAAATATTTTGTATACTATAACGAATAAACTCAAAAAATTCAATTCCGACTTTCACGATATTTTGTATTGACATAACTTCTCAATTATTTAAATTATTAATAAGTTATGTCACTATTTTTGACTCATCTCCGTAAGATTCGTTAAATATTGAGTATCGGGAAATAAGCGAAAGAGAATACTGCTAAAGAAAGTTCGAATTTTGTGTACGATTGAAATAAAACTAACTGTAGAAATTTCAAAATAGATGTATTTAATACTTTTCAATAAAATAATCATCTTTAAAATACTGTGTAATGTTTGGTTAGTAACAGTGAAGGTCCTTTTTTTTTAGGTAAGGCTAGGTGATGCTTCGTATCTCAGGCTTCTACTCCAAATAGGGGACGAATGGTAAATCTGTAGATCCATGTAGTGGGCGGCTGATGATGAACATGGTGGAACCGCACATAAAAAAATTAAAGATAAAGAACCGATAACAAGTCGGAACATAGAATTTTGTAGATTGTCTGGAAACGAAGAAAATGATGTAAGTACCTAAGAACTCTTGGTGCATCCAATATAATCCACGAATGGCTTGTTCACGTGACGACTGTCAATTATCAGTATAAGCAACAAATATTTAGGATAATTTCATAAAATTAATCTCCAAATACACTTTTCAGGTACTTTCTTAATTTCTTGACACTCGGTTGAAACCCATTTAGTAAATTGCTTTCTAGCTGCTTTTTTGTACTCATATGTACATGTAGTACGATGCCGGCTTATTATCTGTGTAATCTTTATTTCTTTTTTTTTTTACGTGATTTTCATGAGAATATGCTACATCAGTTTTTGTACTTATTGCTTCATTTAGTCTAATTTTGGGGCACATTCATATAGAGCGAGTTAAGTAGTGCAAAAACATCTTCTAGTATTACTGATTGTGGCTTTACAATTGTAACTATGCTTTTTTGTTATTATGATCAACTTTGTTTTTTCAGGTATTGGAGAACTTTATTATTGTTACTGATAATTGCGCTCTCATCGGCTGAAGATTATTATGAGCTATTGGGTATTAAAAGAGATGCTAATGAAAGAGAAATAAGAAAAGCATTTAAAAAACTAGCTGTTACTCATCATCCTGATAAAAATAAAGTATACTTTAAGTAGATATAGATAACATTTTATTTTAATCGTCTAAAGCATTTAGATAATATGGTTTTCATATGTTCAGGATGATCCTAAAGCACACGAAAGATTTGTAAAGCTTACGACAGTGTATGAAGTTTTAAAAGATCCTGATTTAAAAAAGAAATATGATCTTTATGGCGAAGAGGGTCTCGATGGCACAAATAAACAAAGACAGTACCATTCCTGGAATTATTATCAAAATAATTTTGGTATTTATGATGATGATCCTGAAGTGATAACTCTGAACAGAAATGATTATTGTGAGTACCACCATTAATGCCAAGGCTGATCTCTATTTCTGTTATCACATATTAATATCGCTCATACGATACCAACAAATTATTTCAGTTGACAGTGTCACCAATTCTGAAAAAATGTGGCTGGTCAATTTTTATTCTCCAATGTGTAGTCACTGTCATACTTTAGCACCAGTTTGGCGAAAGATTGCTAAAGATTTAGAAGGAGTAATAAGGGTTGGAGCTGTGAATTGCGAGGACGACTGGAATATTTGTAGTCAAGTTGGCATACGCTCGTATCCTACCATTCTTCATTACCCAAAGGTACCAATAAATTGCAAACCGCATATTACTATGTCATTTAAATATTGCACTACGAACATAAACCAATCATTTCTTTTCAGAATTCGCAACATGGTATTAGATATACCAATGAGAAAACTCATTCAGCTATCATGCGCTTTGTTTTGGACAGACTAGAAGCTAATATTCGAGAAATAAATAACAATGTTTGGAACGTTCTTTTACGTGGAACAGAAAAAACCAATCGACCAACTCTTATATTTACCTGTGGCACTCAACGGAATTGTTACACACCTGATGAGCGGTTAAAAATAGCTGCAATATTTGTAAATATGATTATGCTCATTGTCCACTTGTATAAATATTTATATTATTTTTCTATTTGTTCATACTATGAACATTCGATCATATTCTTTTTTTTTTTTTTATAATCGCCCAGGACAAGATGATAAATGTACGAATATTCTTATGCGAAGAGGACCATTGCGAAGATACACTTTCGCAGGACACCGCTGCTGTTTACTTACCAGTGAACAGTGACAATTCCTGGACCCCGGTATTCCTCGATTACGAGGACGATGTCAATACTCTTGTTCAAAAAGTCTTAGAGCAATTACCAGAACCTCAAGATGTCAGTAGCGATGAATTCCAGGTACAGTTTAAATAATTTTCCTACCAGTTTCCTACCGTATTTCCTATATATTTGAAAACTGGTCTTTGTCACTTTATGAAATTTATTAACAATGATTTACGCAGGATATTAAAAAACGTCTTGAATCTGAGTCAGATGTTGGCTGGCTCATTTGCTTTTATATTGGCCACGCGACCGAATTAGATTTGCAATTAAAAAAACTTCCCAGTATCGTGCACGATATCAATTTAGGTAAGAGAATTTTATCAGTTATCTAATATACAAGTTCCTTATGAACGAAGATAAAAAATATTCATTTATCATTACAGGCAAAATACATTGTGGTAGATATTCAGATCTTTGCAACGATCTCAATGTAAACCACTATCCGATGTGGGGTGTACTTAAGCCAGGTGGAGCTTTTGAATTAAGTCATGGAAAAAATACAATTAATGATATTGCAAAATTTGCCGAACACAGTATAAAAGCAAAGAATGTTTGGGCTTTGTCAGCAGAAAAGATAGTCTCTATCTTAAAAAGAAATAATGGTAACGATAGACCGACTTTAAGTGACTTTAAAATTAAAATTGGAAATGATAACTACTGATCCTTAATTACAGGTAATGAAGCATGGTTTGTAGACTGGTACGCACCATGGTGTCCACCTTGTTTAAAGTTTCTACCAGAACTACGGAAAGCTTCTTTAGAATTTGACCCATCTGTCATCCATTTTGGTACTGTAGACTGTACAGTTCACTCTGGAATATGTCGACAATACAATATACGTTCTTATCCAACGGCCATGTTAATAAACGGCAGTAACACGCATCAATTTACCGTGGAAAAAACGGCGCCAAATATTATACAATTTATTAACGAGGCAAGAAATCCTTCAGGTAATTTTAATAATATTCATAATCGATTAAGCTTACCATTTTATTTTTTTATTGACTCATCGCTCGTCTTCAGTGTTAAGCCTAACGTCCAAAAACTTTAACCAAAGACTTGGTAAGAAGAAAGCAAAGTTGCTATGGGTAGTCGATTACTTTGCTCCTTGGTGTGGTCCATGCCAACAATTTGCTCCAGAATGGACATCAGTGGCAAAGTCATTGCGTGCCTTATCCTTTGTTAAAATTGCCAGTGTTGACTGCGAAGCAGAATCTGCACTGTGTGGGTCCCAGGGTATTCGTAGTTATCCAACAATTAGATTATATCCAATTGGTAGCGAAGGATTGAGTACAGTGGCGTAAGTACCTTTTGTATTCTTCTTCCTTTACCATATCCATCGACTGTCATTCAATTCCTTAATCTCAGTATTTCATAACCTAGATTATACAGCGGAGCAAGAGATGCACTGTCAGTCCTAAGATGGATTGTACAATTTTTCCCAGTGAAGGTTGAGAACTTGAATCCAACCACCTTTGAATCTGAAGTCCTAAATGGTGACGACGTATGGCTTGTTGATTTCTTTGCTCCTTGGTGCGGCCATTGCCAAGTGCTAGAGCCTCATTTTGCTGTTGCTGCTCAGGTGTGTTTACGTTTAATCATTTATCTGGCTCTTTTTATTTATTCTCTATATTGCTCATTTGCTTACAGCTACTCGAGGGAAAAGTTCGATTTGCACGTGTTAATTGTGACAATTACAGGCAGCATTGTGGGCGCTCTGGGGTACGTGCATACCCCACTTTAATGATTTATAGCCCAAATCAGAATCGTCATCATAATATTTATGAAGGCCAACGAATCGAAGGAACCACAGTAGACACTATAAAGGACGAAGTATTATTATTCTTAAAATCCCTAAGTAATCGAAACCGCGATGAGCTTTGATGATAAATTCCTTAGGTGCCTTAATTCACGATAAAAATGTTCCACGTCATTTTTTACTTTACTTTTTTTTAGCGTCTTTCAATTTACACACGATACTGTATAAGATCTGAATTTGCGTCGTATAATAGTGCACAGCGATCTGACTTTCCATAAAAATTGATAAGTTTAAGTTTAACATATCACAATATAACATATTGTGATAACATATAACTTAACATATAACAATATAATTTCACTGAATCTCTGATAAATTTGAAATTGTTATTCCAGAATATACTCATTTTTCTAGGCCTTTTGTATTTTAAACAAATAAAAAGTTCCTTCCTACAAATGCCTGATAATACAATATTATTCTGAATGTATCTTTTTAAGGGAGTGCCATCAGTTAAAAACTAAACTTGGACTATTGAATTCAGTTTGATATCGAATAACATAATTTACTTAATACAATTCATATACATATGAAATATATATATATATTCTTTTCTTTAAATATACGGCTTTATAAAATGATTTATACAATTTTTTCATGAAAACATTAAAAATTATCCGTTGTTCCACTCTTCAATTATGTTCACGTACAATAAATTTTTCCTTAAAATTGTTGCAATTTAAAATCGTTTCTACGTTTCTCTCCTTCGATTTTCTTTGTAATCTACCAGGACAATTTTCTATGCTATCATACATATCGATGTACAATAAAAGTTAACGCATTTGTACAACGTGCACCAACAGCAAAGTAAAGAAAATAACAGCTTTTATGTAAAAAAATATATGAAAATTCCGTACCTACAGTACAATCAATTGGATGATAAGAGTAGAAAATCGAAGGAACCAATCAGAGTATGTATTGAAGAAATATAATTTTTCGCGCGCATTTACCCAGCGTCTCTAGGAAAAGACATAAATGAAAACAGATTTACGAATTTCCTGAAAAAGGTAAAGTATTCAATTCGATATTAATGCCGTTTAAAAATCTTAGAATGATCATGATTTTCTTTCTGGAGAGAAAAATAAAATATCTCGATCGCGACACGAATCAACTGATTATTCTACTATTATAACAGAAAAGCAAAATTTTATATAAATATATTTTTATAGATATATATGTATATATCGATATATCATATACAGTCAAGTCGTGCAGAGGCAGTGCTAATGAAAAATGGTGTAATCCAATTGTTCGTTCGATTTAACTCCGCTCTTCTCGTTGTCTTATCGAACGTGTACTTAATTAACGATAAATAAATAAATTGTGTTTTCCTTCATGTCGACCCACTACTGCCTTTCTTTTATAATATATATCAAAAGTACGGAGGAACAGTCCCGATGGAGTTAGAGAGAATATGTTCTCGTTATAATTAATTACAAACCGAAATCAAAGGAAAATCAATAAGAACTGAATATAAATTCCAATGATGCAATTAGGATTTCTGCTTGTAATTTGTTAGAATAATGTAAATTATATCTTTGGTTGGTGTAGTACGAGAGGCATCAATCGTGACGATAAATCATCTATTGATTAAAAGTCAAACAATTCCAGAACTAATTTTCAAGATTTGATCAATAATTAATAACATTACTACTTAGTAAATCTATTACAATACTTTCGAGAAGCAGCTGAATGTGAATCAACGACGAAAAATTAAATAGGAATGATTATCGCAAAAGCCGTAATGATCATAAGTTTCGAAAAACTAAACAAATGGTAATATCGAGATTCGGTAATATCGAAAACGAATTTAATATTTAAAAATCAAATTTGATCTATTGGATCGATAAAAGGAATTTAGAATAGTTCCGTACGATCGAAGAAAGTTCTTTTTTTCCAAGGAATAAATAAAAATAAAAGTACATCGGATCGAATAAAACAAAATCAACGATCCTTATACGTATAATCCTCCAATGTTCAATAATATTATAAATCATCAATGGCGTTATGTTTAACAAAGATTGCGCAAGTGTCTATGAATATGCAGGATGCATTTGTGTAATACAAAGATATACTACAAGGTAATTTTGTAGCAGCGCCATTATTCATTTCAATTGTGTGATCGGAGTTAGCAGTTAACGAACTTCCCGTGTGCTTGACAATTTGCATGCGTGTAGACGCGTCACGTGTGCGTAGGTACGATCGGACTTACATAACGTAACAGATACCGGAGAATTCAATTAGCTCGTCGTTCTATTTATGGAATTATGCCATGCTATTAGCATTGTAACTTCACTTGACGATTCTGTCGAACGAGATATGTGAGATGATGATAAGAATTGACAAAAAAAAGAAAAACAGGAGTCAAGCTCTAATCGTTTGTAGGTAGACGTTAGTGCGATTACTCCAATTTTTTTAGAGTCACGCCAGTGCACCTCGCCATCTTCAATTTGACTAATAAGATTATGTTGAAATTATTACAATTATTCTAATCAACATAGTTACACATATAAAGAAATTACAAAATATCCTTCTGCGATAGATTTTGCTATTTCAAGTTTGTAGGTCATTGAATTACTTTTTTTTTTAAGAAAAAAATAGGTTGACTCATACCTAACGATGTGGATCAGTCAGTAATGATCCTTATTACTTTGATACTAAATTCCCATAAATGCATTGTCGGTATCAAGAATCTTTTATGCTAGATTCTAAAGTAGTTGGTATCCTGAACTTTGTTTTCCTTACGTTTGTATCTGATTGTACAAGTCTTTGATGGTCGTAAAAAAATTTGTTGTAGTATTTTGAGAATTAATTATCTACTGTAGTGCTCGACAGATGACATTTGACTTAATTTAATTGTATATCAGTCGCTCGACACTGAAATAGATAATTAATTGAATATAAAATACTGTGATTGATCTGTATATTCCCAAGTCTGTCAATTGATCTTATTTATGAATACGTCCTGTGCAATGAGTCAGTTGAATTTTTAGCTATAATCAGCAATTTGGCGGATTAAAACTAAAAGCGGCTGACGTGACATTCATGATTGGAAATAAATATTTTGAATGTTCATATGTCACGCTTCGAGGGTGGAACCAGATGATCCGGAAGTTCCGTAGGTAAGTCGTATCCTTCGAGCTTCACATTAATAAGATGCATCGCCAGAGCAAATTCATCAGCGTCCAGAAGACCATCTTTATCAATGTCGGATAGTTTCCAGATTTTTCCAAGAACACTATTTGGCAATTTCGACTTGACCATCTCCGATTTTGCAGCTGAAAGTAGAAATAGCAAGGTAGAAATAAATAAAAGTGTATTATACTTGTAGAACAAATTGCTGATATTGATTAAGCTTCTAAAAAGCAGGAATCAACGATTCTTGAAATGTATAAAATAAAAAATTAATCATACGACAGTATCAGTCGAACGCAAACATTTCACTATTTACTTATCAATTCACCTACTTGTTTGCTTCTAACAAATGTTAGTCAACAGTTATCAGACCGTCGTTACGGTTCATCAAGATATGAAATATAGATATAATGAAACAACTGAATGTTCGCTACTCAAAGCTTGCAATTCCCATGGGAAGTTAATAGCTATGAACATTTGCATTTGATAGGCAACATAAAAGTGTAATGCTAAGATAAAAATGAATGTTACGCTTACCAGCTCCAGTGATCTTGCCATCGCATGGATCAAGACTCTCGAACATGGAATCATATTTATATCTTTCCTTGTTGACTATCCATTCAGGTTCACCAGCACCTGCGTCGATGCCTTCACCCCTCTTGTAACCGAAGGGGCTGACTTGATCCTCAACTCCTTCGAAGGCACCACCTGTCAAACATATTTCAGTTACTCAATTTGTTGTAGCAAGCTGATTAAGTCTTATTGAAAATGTTAAACTCCGTAGGAAATTGGCTGTAGTCTGCGCCTTTAGTATCTTGCATGAGTGTAAAAGAGATAAAATAGTATCAGCAATCATGAGTCACTATAGAAGCCTCATAAACAGACAAGTATCTACTGTTTTTCATTTGCTATTCATTTTCTGTTCTTACTTATTTTCTGTAACATTCTAATAACATAGTCTAGTTTTATCAATATTCTTGGTTTAACTTTATAGTTAGATACGTGTAGGATTTTAAGAAATGTTGTGACGTGATAGATAAGGTTTATAAAATGGGACACTGATAACGTGACTGATACAATATAGTTCATGACGCTAGAAATATAGACTTGATTAGTATACCAGTACTGGATGTTTAATTAGTTTTAATCTTGGCATAGTAGTTAGCACAGAGAAGATTGCAATTTATTCGAAGAAGACGTCAGTACTTTTATCAAGCGTTTCATCATTCTACATTCTTTATTCCTTCAATATTATGTTCTTAATATATTTTCTTTGACATGCTAATTCGTTTGAAAGAGATGTAGAACTTTAACCGTTTCTAGGATCCTTTTTAAAAGTGAGTCATTGAATGTACGGTAACTCTTATTAATGAAAAGACTTTTGCAATAAAAGATCTTAGTGTTTAGTTTACTTGTATAATTATTTTATAAATATTATAAATATTTTAAACACTTACCTTTGATGAGAGGCTCGGACACTGTTGTGGTTTCTTCGTGTGGTATCATTGCCATAAGCTTGGCAATATCCTCTGCAAGCATCTTGTCGACAATCTCAAGTAACCTCGGTTTAAGTGGATTGAATTTAGTGAAATCATGGTGTGCCAAGCATTCTTGCATTTTCTTTAAGTCTGGAAAATCACCCGGTGAAATCTGATGCTCGCGCTGTAACTGATCATAGATTTGGCCCAAATTTTTTATAAGCTCCTTCTTTTTAGCTTCCTTGCCAAAAACACTGGGCATATCCTTTCTCAATGCACTGATTATGTACGCGTGCACCTTTAAGTTGAACATTAGCATGAGTATTGATTTTAATAAATGTTCAGTATATAAATTAATAATATATATGATAGGAAATATTTACCTTCGAAAGTCGCGCTCTTTTTATTAAATCATTGAGTTTTCTAAGCGCAGCATTTCTTGGTAATGATTGCATATCTTTGAAGAGGTCCTGCTCCTCGTCCTCGAATAATCTACGAGCGAAATATATTTTACGATAGATACGAAGTCCAGACTCGTTAGATGAATGTAATCACTAATAGGTATAGTTATCATCATGGTCGCAATTTCAATAGTAATACTTATGAACTTCCCACGTTAGTTGCAAATGTAAGAAAAATAGTTTGTTTAAAGTCCAAGATCGTTAATACATAAAGCAAACAGTGTTATTATGATCTCGCTGATTGAACGTATTAGTATCCTATATTCTAGGTAATCATTTGTGTAAATATTAGAAACTGCTTCGAAACCACTTATACAGTGCACGAGGATCATGAAAATTTCTAAAATAAAAAAAATTTTACTTCCTACCTTCTATTTACATCGTATCTCAATGGCTGATCCCAGAATGAACCAATGTATACGCGTGCTACTTCTGGAGTCTGAAGAACTTTTCCAAGAGACCACATAAGAGCTCCATACACGCGCATTAATTGCTGGTGATCAATCATGTCTGCTTTATTGAGAACAATTCTAATTTTGTCATCATGACCACGCAGAGCTTCTATCGATCGTCGAAATTCATCAGAAATGTCTAGTTTGTGAGCATCAAATAATAGGATTATTCTATCAACCCTTTCAGCGAACCATTCCAACACTCCAGTGAAGTCATAGCCTCTATCAACCTAGGATATTAAGAGAATACATTAATAATGTGGAATAGTTTATTATTTGAATGATATTATAACATTTTAATTAAAAAATTATATTACTACATACCCGCTGCTTCTCGCCTGACAATATACCAGGAGTGTCTACTATGGAGATACCTTTCAATACTGGAGATGCAACGGTAGAGCATTGAAATCGATTTAAGAAGGCATTGCCAAACTTTGAGAGAGGACGAAACTGTTTATTTGGATCAACAACTAAGGCATTGCCTGGAATGACACCTTCCTTTTCATCGTACATCACAGCAATGAATCTATCTGTGGTAGGCTCAGGGCCAATTCGAATTCCTGGGAATTCACGTTCTAATAGATATTTAATGAATGTCGTTTTTCCTGTGGAGTATTGACCCACAAGAAGAATCATTGGTTTTGCATCGAAATCTGGATCATCGAGTTGTGGCGAATGAAAATCATGAAACTGATAATGCTGTTCCAATGGCAACAGTTTAGACTTATAGATCTTCTTAAGACCTTCTGTGACATTCTCAAAGAGATCTTGTTTGACACTGTCGTCTCGATTCAACCAACTAAACATTGTGCCTCTGTCGTTTTTCCACCTAAGGAAAATCCATTTTTTGTTAACAATAAAATTCTTCTAACACAACATACACTACATGCCAACTCACCAAAAATAACAAACTTCAAATTATTAAGAAGCACGTAATAAAACCAATAATAAAGCTTAGAGTCATTATCAAAACGAGAAAACGTGAATTACAAAGTCAATATGTTACTCAGAATAACCTCATTGAAGAAAATATTCATAATATAAATGAATAAATGTAAAAGTAGGTTTAGCAGCTGGTCAACTTAATGCTTGCTCGACTTTGCTAAAAATTGCATGTCAAGAAATACTCAACATACTACAAGCGAGATACCCAATAACTAACGTATGAACATAGAAACTTTCACTAAAATGACGTTTGCTATTCACCAAATTTAAAGATGAGAATCGCCGGCGTTGTAATCAATCCCACAAAAGAAGATTCAACAATAGGTAATTCCTTATCAATAAATACGTGACAGGAATCGATGAAAATCGTGGTACACTGAACCTTCACGGATTGTGCTGAACAAGCACGAGATATATGAGCAGGCCGAGCAGGCAGATTCCCTGATACAACACGCAGAATGCCTGATAGAGCATCGATACTGGCAATCGGCTCGTCGTGTTCCGTCGTGTTCTGTCGTGTTTAGCCCCACGCACTCAAAACTCCCAGTCGAGGTTCCGTCGACGTCGACGAACACCACTCGAACAACTGGGATTCTGACAAGATGTGAATGGGTCGTGTTAAAAAGAGAAGTGGCAACGATCAGAATGACGTTACTTAAACGTTGGGCGTCAACTTACGGATAGTCACAGATTAGTCAGCTGGCCAGCTGATAGGAATTTCAATATCAAAGATGCAAAATCGAACTTTGTACAATTTGCTCGGATTATCAAAAATAAGTTAGGATATAACTGACTTTGGAATTTTTCTTCTTGCCTATCTGTTGCCTAGATTACTTGGACTTAGGTTTTATGTATAATGCATATAGAACGAACAGAACTAAGCCAGTTGAATGCTGGTAATTTAATTAAATGTGAATCATTCTGTAAACTAGCATTCTATTTCCTGATATTGAGCATTTCAATTTATTTTACTACACGTACTTGGTTCACTGGCCTGATTTTTGTTATATTGCGGTGTGAACGGAGCATAGGTTTTTCTTGACATATATTTCACTGACCTCTTCTACCTCGGGTCTACTTCTAGAAACTTTTACTCATTCATAATGAAGTTTGAACGCGATGAGATACTTAGATTTTTTTCAGACTCGAGGAAACCTAACTGGCTTATTCGTACGATTTCATTTTTAAAAAAATATATAGTGTCACAATTATATTACGGAAATAATTAGCAGCAGGCTACCAAGGACAAACCCATAAATTGAAATAAGTACAATTAGTTACACTTGCAGCTGATTGCACATGACGAATCTAATGTACCATATAGAATTACTCTACCTAATTGAATTTTTAATGTTAAACAAGGTTTTATCATAGTAAAACGAGAGACAGTTGGATCACCAGACTGTGAAACGTATGATTTATTACAGACGTACTATCATTGATCAATCCAAGCATGAATATTTGGAAATTCTCTTGTTAAAATACGGATGGTAAAATTCAGACACGTGATAATGATTCGCGTTATTACGTAATGATATGCAAACTGTTCAGTGTCATTCATTGCGTAAGCCACGTGGACACATCCTGGTTAAACGATTCTTTTACAATTTAACAGTCCTTGCTCAAAGCTGCGCTTGGTCTTGAACTAGTAGAAACCCAGTTTCCTCTGACTTTGATTACTTTACAGAAAGTGTTATATCGTTTAACATTTCCCGATTCGTATTTGAACACTTCATTATGGTTTTCCTTGCTAAATCATCGAGTGGTATTTTTTTTAAACTCCCAGAAGAATAAAGGACACTTCGTGCATAACGCGATTTTGATTTTTCTTTTGACTTTGTACTTTCTATTTTTTCGCTGCTTAAATTCTTGACCATTGTGCTTTCGACTTTTTCACTAACTTGCATTAAACGTTCCAGAATTTTTGTTGCTTTATACTGTGAGCGTGTTTTCGAAGTTTTAATGTTGCCTTTCGTTGAGCCAAGAAATCCGGAATTCTCCGGAACACAGAGACCTTCCTCTAAGAGAGCGTAACCAATAGATTTGTTTCGTTTCTCTGTAGTAGTACAATTGTCATTACTCATCTGTAAAACTACATCTGATTCAGCCTTGATCTCCTTGGTGATTGAAAGTTTCGTGTTTCTACTCTCTTCCAATTTTTTCTTTATACGAGACAAATACATCAATTTATTCTCATTTAAATTACGTCTATTCACTCTTGTCGCGATACTATTGGATGCAACTGGTGACCGTGAATCGTTTGATGCGAAAGCTTTTTCTGTTTGTTTATTTTGTGAAATTTCTTGGGAAATTGAACACGGATCAGTGGTCGTAATTCTTTGTGATTCGTTTTTATTGTCTAAGCATGGCTGCACAAAATTATTGGCGACTTTGCTGCTACCGTACGATAAATCTTTATCTTGACTTTTTATTGAAGTTATCGGTATTTTAACTTCAACTTTACTCAAAGATCTTTTTGCTTGCAAATTTCTTTTCTTATTATTATAAGAGACATAAGATTGCGTACTCTGATCCTCCATCTTGTATTCTTTGATGGGTATTAAATTTTTATTCATTTCCGGTGGTGTATCTTTTACCTCATTTCCGCAGGAGATTAAATGCACTTTTGTTACTTCCGATCTATATGATTTATTCAAGGATGTAACATTATCTGTAGATATTCTTGAATTAGAATTTAAAGACGAAACAATTTTTTCGTTGAGCGGTTCTACCTCGTTTATTAGACTGAGTGATTGAATAATGCACTTAGACTTTACATTGTTTGTCCTTTTATAAGAGTTTTGATCATTTTTGTATTTAAACGAAGACTGTTCTTTACCACTTTTGTGATTTACGTTATCCTGTATTATGCTATTTATATTCCTTTCCTTTTTTTCGACCAATATCTTGCTCTCTACGTTTACCACTTCCGGTGGTTTCAAGTATAACTCCTTTTTCTTTATTATTTGCTTTGATAAAAACTGATATTTTTTACGGTAAAATTCTTTTTTGTCCAAGGAAGCTCTTTTATTATCTAATCCTGATATTGTACAGTTTATATTTGTATCAGTTGTAGAATTGTTCAATGGGACCTTGATAATCTTATATGAATCAGCAATCCTAGGTGAACTATTAGTTATCCTTGAACTAGAATTTATTTTATCTATATCTTGTCTCATTTCTAATTTAGAAGTCCTCAGATCATCCATTGTGTTCATGAATGACATTTTTTCAGTTACTTCAGTCTCAAATTTAAGATAACTTTTGTCAGGTAACGAGAAAGAATCCTTAACATTCAATTGTATTGGTACTGTGTTCTGATTATTTGATAAGTCAGTTTCTTTAATGCATTTTACTTGATCCATTATATTTTTTTGAGAACTTGAGTTCATGACTGATTCTTTGATAGATAATTTATTAGATGTAACATTAATAGGACTGGAACTGACATGAGTTTCTTCTGTGATATTTTTAGCTAAGTTACTCTCGTTATTAATATTGTTTGTTGAGGTTGAATTCATAGTGGCACATTCTTTATTAATAGATTTTATATTGTCGATACTGTTGGGAAGTATAACGTTCTTTAGTACAGCATCAACACTTTGCTTATTTAAAGTATTAAAACGTTTTCGCCTTTTCCTAACTGGAGGTATTGGCATCCTTTTTGGAAATTTTTCAAAAATGTGAGTTTCCTTCAATTCATTCCGAAGTTTTCCTTTTCGTTTAATGTGCTTCAATAAGTTGGAGACTTTTCTATTGATCACATGAGGTCTTATTCGTTTGAATCGTTGAGCAACTGGAAGATTAGCATTGCTCCTCTTCTGATGAAATTTTTTGAATAACCAAGAACGAATCCTAGTCGATATATTTTCTTGTACAAGCATCTGGCAGTTACCTGATGGTGGTACTTTTATATTCTGTGATAACCATTCATACTTCTTCAATTTATAATCAGGTATTGCCACATCAGTAGCATCTTGCATAACAGGACTTTTCATTGTGATAGAGTGTTCTTTGGAAAGATCGCTGCAATCAGAAGAGAGCATAGAGCTTTCCAACGTGTGTGGAAATAATTGATGATACTGAGCAAAACTTTGAATTTGGTGAGTTAAAGGTTTTATTTGTACTGTTGACACTGGTAAAATACTGTGTTCTGTAAAGATTTGTAGTGATCTGGGCGTTTCATGAGAAAGATTCACCAGTTTGTTATCAAATATTTCATATCTTTTAGACTTCTCATTCCTGTAAGATCTTTCATCCTCTATCGCTAAAGCACTGGAAGAGTATTGTATTCCAACATGTATTTTGGATTTGATTTCATCAGGTAACAACCATTGTGGCTCTTCTAATGTTCTGGATATTTGTGACGCACTTTTTCCAGCCTTTAATTCAGTCATTGCCTCTAAAATATTAGCTAGTTTTATAGCAGTACCATATTCTCCAATTGACCGACCTAAGCTACTTTGTTTTTTTAATCCAAATATAGACATTTTAGCTGGTTCTTTTCTTTCGTTAGAAATTAGCTTTAATGGCTCTTCCTTGTAAAATGAATTCCATGAGACTTTACTACTGTCATGCCATATATCCTGAATTCTCTCTGAAAATGATGGCCTTATATCCTCACAGTTTGTTTTACATTCCTTCACAGTTTTACTATACTTTTCTAATGTACAGTTAATATTATCTACATTGGGATCAGTCATAGAACTCAAAGACCTCTTTACTTTCTCTGTTATTACTGATGTCGACATTTTTATACCATTTAAATGCGTCTCTGCATTTAGGGTGTTCATTTTGGCTCTTAAACTGGTTAGCAACGTATCGAAGCAACTTTCTGCTGTCAAAGAGAACTTTTTTTCCAGACATAATTCATTAGACGCTGCGATTTGATTCTGCGTCTTACTGTTTGTTTTACTATCAATTACATTCACTTTCAGTGAATCGACGATCTTCTCATCCTCTACGTTCATTTCTACATTTTTTTCCGGTTCACCTCGCCTTATATCATGCGATTCAAGATTCTTATTTTTGATAGATATATTTTCCTCAGCGGTAGAATGTAAAGAAGATTTTAAAGATAAACTATCCTTCAAATTGTCATTGGAACTTGGATCCTGAGATGGTATGTCTGATAATCGTGAGTCCCAACCGTTTTTTTGAGTCTTTGCGTCTATTAAAGAATTTTTCAAGTTTCTACTCCTTTGGATTGATAATCCCTCTGAAATTCTGTTCTGCCTAGTCGTACAAGCCAAATTCTTCGAAACATCTGATACATCAACATTAAGTTTAGTTGAATAATTAGAAAAATTAGTCATCTTTTGATAATCATTCCTATCAACATTGACTTCTGATTTTGGCTTTAAAGATGTTGGACTTAATCTGCCAGGAATTTGATATCCAATTAGATCCTCCATTCTACGTTGTCTTGTCTGATTATACTCATTCCAATACACCGGATAATTCCTAGTTTCACAGTTATGGTACCTGTAACATTGAAATTTGACTTTCTAAATGACAACTAATAATTTTTTTTCAATTAAACGTACCGACAATCTGTCCTAACGCCGTGTTGAAAAACTTCAGGTATGTACATTCTAGGGCCATTATTCTCATGGCGAATTCTAGGTAACACAAGAACTGGACAGGGAACAGAATTTCGTAAGAAAACATTTCCTGGAAGTTTTATCTCGGGCGACCGAAGGTTACTTTCCTCAATGACACGATACTCTTCAGAACCATCGTTCACACACGGTAGACCAGGAACACACAAATGCCCATGTGGTATTCTACGTCCACATAGTGAATGATGCCCATAGGCAGATCTATCATGATGCCTAATGGACTCTTCTTCAGTTTCTACAGCATCGTACAAGGTAGATAGTTCATTGCTGGAACTTTCATCGCCATTCGTCTCCAGGCTCTCATCGCTGCTGCTTGTACGTGAACTCGGAGAAACTCTTAGAAGATATTTTAAACGTGACGTAACGTTATTCGAAATGGTCCATATCTGGTGAAGCCAACGACAGAAAGCTTGATCCGGTGTAGCCTCGTTACACTCCTCGGATGTGAATGATTCTGTACTCTGTTGCACTTTATCAGGCCATTTTGACAGATCTTCTTGTGGTTTGTCACCTTTGTTTTCTTGATATCGCATTCCTGGAATGTGAATTTTGCTCTTTGATTGTGATTTTATATAACTTGTACAATTTATCTACGTAATTTGAAAATCTACGTGATTTTTTCAACAATTTTTCGTTTCTTTCAAAAATCCCAAATGTCTCTGATCATGTGACAAATTCCTTTTTGACAATCGATATGTTCTATAGGTATACAGAGCCTTTCAACTGAAAGTTATTAATCAAATTTGACAGCTGTCATGTCATTGCTGTGCTTAAGCAGCTTAACAAGATCTTTTCTCTATATCGCTAAATATGCATAATCAATGTGTACGATATATTGACATACATAAACAGCAAAAAACATCAGTGCATTCGTTTTTTTTTAATTTTTAAATAAAAGTTTTCAAAGTATCACAATACTTATCCATAGTATTTAAAGACATTTATAGATAAATTTAAAATCACGAAATTTAATTTTTCGAAATGTGTCGTTTTCTTGGCGAATTAAGTAATCTAGGAATTCGCGAAGCTTGTTTCCTACGACGATTGCTTTTGTGTCCTGCAGACATGTTAAGTTCTGACTTTGAATACCAAACGCTTCCAAAACAGACAGTTTGAATCCATTTCCCATTGTCGATCGTTGAACAGTCACTTTGATCTTTTAAATGCATAATATTAGTATGATTTTTTTCCGACTCCCCATTTCCGGACTCACTTTCCTTCCTTTCACAATTTGTAGTCTTTCCTTGGACTCGACTTACACTATTATCAATATGAGTCTCAAGAGAACAATCACCATTAGGGTTATTCGATTTTATATTCATTTCGCTGGTCAATTCGCGTAAAAGATGTCCGTCATGAATGCTGCTGCGCTTTCTGTACAAAGCATTATATTCATCATCAAGTCTTGAAGAAAGTGAACTCTCAGTTCCCTTTGTACAATTTATATTACGTTGATCATTAATGAACTTCTCATGAATCATACAATTTGAAGTCATACGTTGCATAACATCTAGATCCTTTGATTTAGTACTCGATGTACAGTAATTCATTGTTGCACGAGCTTTCGAATAGATTATCAATGTGGATGACCTTTTTTCAGATTTACTTGGTCGACCCTCCCGCCAGAAAGTCTTTTCTTGCTCCGAATCCGTATTTAATACACGGTTGCTGGTGGACACTAGGACAGGGGAAGCAGATCTAAGATAAAATAATTGAAGAACATTAAGTATATTATAGATTATGGATTGTATAATATTAATTAAATTAGGACCTGGCTGTGTAACTTCTAAGCATTTCTAAACGACGAGCTTCTTGAAATATGTTTTTAAAACGTTTAATTACGTTATTCCATAGTTCAGTGATCCAGCGTCGTATATGCAGTAAAAATGAATATCTTTGATAATTGTTTGCCTGGCAATCATTCATTCTGTGCATAGATCTTCTCATGGAACGACCAATTATAATACCTGTTGAGAAATCATTATCATTATTAAACATATTGAGTAATGTTGATCTAGTGTTGCTGAATAATTTATAGTATATCATAAGTGACAGAATTTAACGTACCTCCGGATACAACAGGATTGAGTTTCTTTGAATTACAATCATATGTGTTAGCCGCCATATATTGGCTGTCAGTACCTATTATTTCAATTTATTATGTCGGCAGGTACAGTCTGAAAATTAATACCTTTAAGAGGTTGAATGTTTTTTAATTATTGTGACAGTATATCATAGGTCGTTAATAAATGGCTTACAGGTGAAACTTATGGGATTAATATTAATACGAAAAATTTATAAAATTTTTCATGGATATGATTACTTATTCTCTACTACTGATAATCTTAAAAGTGCAGCATTATACGACTGTGAAAAAATTGGCTGAGGTTAAAACTTCAAAAAATGAAGATCAAAGTTTGGAAATAAAATAAAACAAGATGAAAGTCGTAATTTTTCCTTTCCAATAAATTTCTATTGACTATTCTTATTATAAAATGTTATTACAGTTATATTACTAACTATTCATACAAACGACTCAACAAAGTCCTTATCATTTTATGCGAGCCACCCCAATCTTATCCTCTTTTATGACTAGATATGACCTTTATGAGATGATATATATACAATGCAATTATGAATAAATTATGTTATTTTACTATTATACTATTCGCACATGCAGTATTTCCACATCAACCACTAAATATAATACATATTCCTGAACTCTTATCGAAACAGATTTATAGTGTGAAAACTATTCTAGTAAATGCATTATTCAAACTAATAATTATGTTCCTGATAAATTCATCAGATTGACTATTAATATAATATAAAGTCTTGCTGTCATTGGCTTCGTACCAAACTTTCCCCTAACAGTAAAATCATTACAATAGATAGCAAAAACATATTAAAAGTTTATAGAATTTCCAACAATTAAAAATTTCATTCTATTATCTTGCTATGCTCTCGTCACATGTGTTGTATGTGACGATACCCATAATGCTACACAGACGTTTCGCTATTATCTAATGCCATTACTGTCAACGTGTTAGGACGCGAGCCACATAAAATTTGGTCATCAGGCATACGCATCCTTGGTTCTAGAATGTGTCTCTTTGTTTCAACATTCTTCTTGATAGGTGTACGGCTTGGACTTGACTTTCTACTGCTTGGATATGATTTCAAGAGACGTGCACTATAATAGTAATAGTATTTGATTATTCCACAATTGTCAATTTTCAGAATTTATATTTTAATTCAAAATAATATCTGTATACGTACGCATCAATGAGTTTAAGTAGTAATCGAGAGTATACTTGATATTCCTCATCAGTAAATTCAGTTGGATCATGTCGTGCATGTTCATACAAATCACAGAACTGGTGAATAAGACGCTGACCACTACCATTTAGTGGAGCAGCAAGTGTCATCAATAAATAGGCTCTTAGATTTTCAGACGGATGACGTCTCATGCAATTGTCATATCGAGTAATTTCAGCCTCTATTATGCAAAATTGAATGTATTATAAATCATGTATAATTTAATAAACTTATAGCTGTGTACCTAAAGTCTTCACATCATCAACAGCTTTCATTCTATAATAATGTGGTGGGACCTGACCACCAGGTGCCATTATGTATCTGGGATCGCTTATGAGTTGTGGTTCGTATTGTATCCTTGGTATTACTTCTATCCGTCTTTCAGTTTCTCTCTTCAAAGACTATCATCCACAAACAGAAAAAAATTAATTACCAAAATTATGTATACAGATTAAAATATGTATATGCATAATTACAACTTATTTAATAAAGGATATACGATACAAATATTTTTATAATAAAATAAATCGTTGATTAATTTCAGTTAAAAATTCTTTAGAAAGTGATTTGTTAAATATGTTTTACAATAGTTTCACATAGTATTGATAGTATTAATACCATAACCTAAAGTTTCAGCTCACCTTTTTCGCATCGTGACCGATAGGGACGTGCGGACCTCGTCGTGATCGTAAGGCAAATCTCATTATTTGTCTTTTAGCAAATATAAATAATAACACTATTGTTAATACTCCAGCCGCGATAAATATTACAATAGTAACACCTGAGAGTTCTTCTGTCATATTGAAACTGGTGATACGTCATACCACGGTCTTGTATACAGGTCTAGGCACTTAGGCGAAAAACGCGTAACCTTACAGTGGATCTACCGCAAGAGACGTTAGTGTTGAAAGAGCGAATCACGTGGTAGCACTACGCGTGTGCAGTTATCTTTTTCTTGAATACGTAACTTGCAGCTTTGTTCATAATGTGTAATATATACCGTGATTGGAATTAAAAGAAGCAAGAATGACCAAAAAGTGCATCGTGCCTGCTAGAATCACAATGGTGATTTGCATTTGAAAATCTCACAGGAGTTACAAATAAATTCAGTAAAAAAGTAACGATACAAGTAAAAATTGACTGTATACGTTAGTATATCTCCTGTGAAAGATTTTTCATTGGAAATTCCTACACTCAAACCGGAGAAAATCTTTTTACAAAGAGAAGTGGATCTTGTGGAACCAATTTCATATCGTGATGCAACATAAATTCAACAAGTGCAAACGAGAAAAAATATTTATACTATTGAACTTAGCTACGAAAAAAGTTCTACTTGTGCAGATATTTCACTTTTTGTACTTGTCCAGAGGTATTTTCATCAAGTTAACAGTTTTTAGTATATGTATATGCAATTATAGCATCATTCAATTTTCATGACTTTTAGGTGAATTGGTCCATTTAATTTTAGTTTTTTAAATCATCAATTCTTTATTTGTCTAACTTTAAAATTAGATTGTTAAATTTTATTTAATTGGCATCGGTTCTTTGTGTGTAACTTTCCTTTTGAATCAGAGGTAAGAGGTTGCAGTGAATTTACAGATGCGCATGCGCTGTTTCAGCTTGCTTCTTCGACAGTAGCGCTTGCGGGCAAAATCGTCCACGTTACGTTTACGAGCTACAACGTGGTGAGGATAGGGAAGTGCCCAGACCTGTATACCTACAAGACCGTGTAGGGGACAGTAGGGCATAGTCAAGCACGGAATAGTGCACGTGTTAGGAGTGCTGTCAACTTTTTTATTCATATTTAATAAAATAAGGTGGTCATTGTTGCCATTATGTGTAGTGTGAATGATGATGGCTATGAGGATGGCGAACAATTTATGCCAAAAACTGAAATTGCTGTTACGTGAGTAAATATTGAAATATAATAGGTTTGATAGGAAATGAAAGATCGTTTTTCTTCTTCATCAAAAATGCAATGGTGTGAATATCTTTGTTTTGAATTTATTAATGGATAATTGATTCTTGCATTTTATGAATTATATTTTTTTTACAGGGAAGCTGCAATATGTAAAAAATGTGCAAACAACAAAGGCAATGTGATACTTCGAGGAAAGGATGTATACTGTAAAGTCTGTTTCTTGGCTAGTTCCACTCATAAATTTCGAGCAACGCTTGGAAAGTCAAAAATTGTCCGTCCCACAGATTCCATACTTATTGCACATTCGGGAAAGGCGGGATCAACAGCACTTTTACATTTGATAAAGGCAGGCATGCATGAGTCTGTGCATAAAAGACTTATATTTAAAACTACAGTACTGCATATTGATGGTACAATAATTTTTAGCAAAGTCATTAATTTAGTGAAAAAATCATGAACACCACCATATAAATAATTATATTACATTTTGATCTATTTTCATTTAGAGGGAGCAGTGAATGGCGAAACACTGGAAGAAAGGAAATCAAGAATAAATGCAATTTGTGAGCAGACACAAAACCTTGAGTTCCAGGGGTACATAACTTCGTTAGATCAAAGTATATCTGAATCTGAACCTAATATTCATACAATGGAATCTCTAGAAATATGCAGCCATGGTGATAAAATGTTAACCGATCTTCTTAACACACTATCAAATTATACAACAAAGCAAGAATTATTACATAAGCTACGACAAAGATTATTTGTCCTGGTAGCGAAAAAACTTGGCTGTAATAAGGTTTTTGTAGGTGATAATGCCACAGATTTAGCTATAAGAATTTTAAGTAACATTTCAGTAGGTAGAGGAGCTCATTTGCCATTTGACGTCGGTTTCATCGACAACAGGTGTCCTGATATAATGATACTTAGACCAATGCGCGACTTTACTAGAAAAGAACTTGTATATTACTTAAATTTTAATAATCTTCAAATTATTCACTCTCCTGAACTAACAACCAAAAAGGATCAGTATGTTTCCATACAAAAACTTACTGAAAAATTTGTAACTGACTTAGATTTGAATTTTTGTGGGACTGTTTCGACAGTTCTACGCACTGGTGACAAATTATACACAGAAGTGGGAAATAATTCTGATAATCCTTGCATACTATGTAATATGCCACTAGATACTACAGTATTTGATACTGAAATTTCAGCCATTCAAGCTACTATGTTTTCACGCTTTGTATCACTGCAAGGTCCACAGCGCAAATATAATACAAACGATGTCAGCAAAATCAAAATAAATGAGCAGAATGAGGAGAATAGGAGAAAAAATGATAACTGTTGCAGTTGTAACGATACTGGCTGTTGTAGTTCAAATAAGAGTGTCAAACTGTCATACAAGGATGTAGAGAAATATCTTTGTTATGGATGCAGATTAATTTTTCAGGATGCTAATTCCTTGAATATGCTTCCACCTTTCATGGTAAATGCTGTGAGAGATAAAATGTGTCTCGAAAATATGCGACAGGAGATATCAGAGTTTTTACTTTAAACTAATATTGTATAATGAATAAATATATTTTATGTATCTTGAATTCCATTTAAAAACAATAATTGACGTCAAGAATGTTTAACTACTAATTTATGATTCTAAGTTTATTTGTCCCATATTTTTAGATACAATTAATTTATTGCACTTGAAAGTTCTGCATGTTTAAAATCTAATTCATGTTGACATTTTTGGTAGATGGCTCTGCAGTCGTTATCCATGGTGATTGTTGCAAGTCGAAGTCATCTGCGTTGAGAGTGCGAATCTCGACATTTATTTCATAACCAATAGAGAGAAAATACCTTGGTGAGACAATGAATTAAATTACAAAAGAAACAATATGCATTGTAAACGGTGGAAAAGTTATATGATATCAAGTGTTGCATAACAGTTATAGGTTACATTCAATTATCTTTTTTAGAGTGGCGTCGAATTCATAGAATATATATTACAAGTTACAAAAGCATTTAATTCCATAAATCTTCTTTAACTGTATATTCTAAAATGTATTTATTTGTGATATGTTTTAAGTATTTTTTTATTTTAAAAAATTATCTAAAATACTGAATACTTAAGTGATTACTTTATTGTACATCTTTAAATTTATTTTTACATAGCTTTATTTATATTTTTATTCTTTCTTTCAGAGAAATCATGCCTATTTCACCAATTTTTCGCAATCCTCTGACAGACTTATCAGGTGGATTGTTGACTTTTGAAAATACTGAGTGCGAAGACAGAGAATTAAAAGCAATAGAATGTGTTGAAGCATATGGACTTCCAAAAGGTGAAGAAAAATGCAAAATACTGATAACTGATTTCAAGGAATGCATTACTAAATTTAAAAGTTTTACACGTGTTGCAATAATGAGGAATGAGCGACTTCGTCAATATAGAGCTGGACAGCGTGAAGAACAATTTGAAGAGTTACCTAGATTTGATGCTGTTTAAATGGATCCTGACAATTATATGTGTTATAATATAGCATTGATCTAAATATAGGTTATTTAAAAGTTATATTCAATGTTATTTCAGTAATCCTGTCCTATATGAACTTTTTTTTCTTATGTTGACAAATCAATAGTTCTTTTTGTCCTATTACATAAAAATATAACCATACTGTATAATTTGGGTAAAATTCTAGTAGATGGCTTTCAAAATAACTTGTCTTAAACAAGTTTAGCAATACATTCTTCCTGTGTTAGACAGATGAGTATCCATAAAACTAGACCAAAAAAATAGTAGATTCCTTCCAACAAAATCAAATTGTCTAACACAGTTTTTAATATACATACAATAGAATAAAACTAGCCTAACATGTTTAGCATAGTCATAAAATACTTATCTTCTAATAAATTACAGAAGTCATTCATCAACTAATATGAGTGCTATAACAAAGAATAATCCGCAGCTATATACGATTGGAATTATAAACCCACGCTAGATAAATGATGGCAGGCACATCTCCTGATTGAAGGAGGCAGCCATAAGGAAAGGAAGGAAGGAGGTAAATCATGGCTGCTCATGGCAAACTTGTTGTGCATCATCGATCAAGCAAGAGATGGCGCTGCAATGGCCGCATGTCCGACCATGGGAAGCAGGAGGCAAGGCGCAAGGCGCACCTGTCTGTCATCACAAGGCAAAGCCGACTGTCAATCTGACTGACGGTGGCGCACACGCTGAGCCAGAAGACAGAGTTCATTCAGTACAGAGTAGTATTTATCTGTCAGAGAGTTTAGCGAGGACCGATATAAAGAAGAAGAAAGTATAGAAGACGAAATTGTGCGGATCGCGGACGCCGCTGCCGGTAAGTTCTTGGATGTGTGGTTGCAAAATGTGATATTCGCCGCGTCGCCGGGCATGGACGCGTGAAAGCGTAGACGCGTGCAAACCACGCTCGCCTATGTCTGTCTGACAGAAAGAACTGGCGTTCCCTGGAGCTACGGGATTTCTCGAAGATAATTCAAGAATCTTGAATAATCGTGTAACTCGTTTAATCCAGTGGTAATTCCTCTGCAAAACTCATCGAATTTTCTCATGTTTGACAGCTCCTGAACGATTGTAAACAACATCGCTACCCCGTTCGGCCTGGCGCGAGCAAACTGCGTTTACATTGGCCTATCGGCAATGGATCATCGTGTTGGTGAGTGATATTTATTCATATTTATACAGAGGACTCTGTTAATTCTTATGGTTAGATTAGAAATTAAAAGATGCTTGCGTCTTTTTGTCTGAATCCATTTTGGCGTGGGACGCCACCGCCACGGCTGGCACGTGGTGGCTGCTATCGTAGCGCGGGCTTATGCCACCATGTCACGGGGTTCACAGAGCCACAGCCACGGACGCCATGATCGCCAACTGTCATTTCGCATTCGAATCTGACGTTTTGCTCGTTGTTATATTTTAGTCGCGTATTTGATATTTTTCTTAAAGTAGTAAACACTTTTTAATGCAGTCAAGCTAGTTAACTCTTATCTCAGTGGTCTGAGTATAATTTTACTAAAAATTCGATATATTATTGTCATTCGCCGACATCAATACGACGAAGAGAGACGGGCAAGGGAAGCGAAGAAATACAATTTTCAGTCTTTTATTTTCCAATTTTATTAATGTCTGACTTGTTATAAATTTCTCTAAATACTGTGAGACTTTTATTCAATATTAATTATATTTTCTATTTCGACGTTTTAATACAATGAATTCTTCGTATGCCGTGACAAAATTTTACTCTTACTTTATAAGCGGATGTATTTTAAGAATCGTAAATATGAATTTTTTAAAATATTCCTGCAAACATCCGAGGTTTGACTGTACTTAACTTACGCCGTCTATTATTGAAAGCTGACAATATGGAAATAGAAGCGTTGCTATCACCTATTGCTGCGTATTTGCAATTTTGTTAGCCGACAGCGGATAAGGCACGTTGCCAAAGTGAGGTTAGGAAAAACATTGAAAGTGGATATGGGAATATACACAACAATTGGAATAAAAGTTGTACACGTATTTCTTGTACTAAGAATACTTTATTTAACATATATACATTTTCTATGGTATCATAACGTTCTTCGTGTTATCAAAAATTGGTGGAATGCTGAAAGAGTCGCCAAAGCGTTATACCTTCTTTCTCGTATCCAGATAGCCCTCACTTCCACCGGAAGTGAATATTACACCTGTCCAAGCACGTGCTCCTGAGAAATCTCACGTTCCAACGATCTCTTTATCAATTTCGCTTAGCAAAGGCTTACGGGGGAAAAAAAAGGCTTCCACGGAGATTGCCGTTCTCGCGCGTCACATTGCTATAACGAGGACAGCGACAACGTTGCGAATTTACCCTCGTGGGTGGTCCGTTTGTTTCGTAGCCGGGACTCGTATGGACGATATACGATTCTTCAATAAAAAAATCAACAAGACTTAAGAATGTCAGTAGATGATAATTCATTATTTCTTGGAATTTTCTAACATACTGAATTAATAAAAAAATTTCCTTCGTATTTTCCTCATTGCATCATAACCTATACGTAATATTTACCTGTGCCGAATATTTAATTGCGATCAAGAAAACCTATTGACAGTGGATGCCACCCAAATCAGGAATGGATGTAAATTCCAGGTAGAGAATGTTAGATCGGAGTTAGTCAATTATGGCTGGACTAAAGAGTATTTAATTATGTTAAATAGCCATACGATAGGAATCAGGACGACGCTCATGGCTCCTATTTATTTCCCACCACTGGCCATTTGTTCACGTCCCTTTTATATATACATGCAGAGATCCAACTAGCGTTAATCCAATGCGTCGTTCGTTCAATTATTGCTTAAACCGGAAATTGGTTGCGTGACCAAAAAAAAAATTATAAAAATTTGACAAAGCATAGGAGGTAACTTAATTATTAAAATATATATTTTACAAAAATATTCTAAATTTTTTCTATTTTACTTTGTCTCTTTTCTAATAACAATGTAATCCTCAAAATTATTTTTACGATACTTCTGTATACCGGGTGTCGGGTAATTATTCTTCCACTTTTCTCTAGCGTTACTATCGACTTTCAATAAATTTCCTAAAACAAAGATATCACATAATAACGATTATTTTGTAAAATTAGTTTAACAGTGTCAACGTTCCACGTGACCTTATAAGGGATCGTAAAATCGATATAAAATACCCTGTTTCTCACCAGGAAGTCAATGATTATTTCTTAACGAAGTCATGATTTATCAAAAAAGAACCGATGGCTCTTTGCTCTACGTTATCAGTGGTTTGCGCAATAAGTAATAAAATTTTTTCTTTTGGTTGCTATCCACCATATTTCTTTCTCTCTCTCTCTCTCTCTCTCTCTCTCTCTCTCTCTCTCTCTCTCTCTCTCTCTCTCTTTAATCAACGTTAACTACACTGTTACGTACATATGATATAAGTCAAAACAGGGGATCAAAGTGTTCATCTTGCAAAACAGCCTATTTGGGTATCAGCGCGTTATCGTATCCTTGCGAAAAATTGCATATCGAGCGCGTATCATTAACATTAACAAGACAGACAGTCAGACGTACGTAACCGATTAACTTGACGTAATTCAAAGAGACGATATGAATGAGAATTAGTATGAAAAAAATATATAAATATTTAAAAGAAAAAATTTATCATCTTATACCCACAATGTCTTTCTGTGTGAACTACATATACATACATAGAGGTGAATATATAAACTTGAAATTGCCGCCAGTGCGAAACTCAAAGTAGGTATGGGAGTACGATAAGTCTCAATCGCGAAGCTTCTCGCAACAAAGTAGCAAGAGGTCGTTACGTCCTCTCTAGGTGCTTCGCAAATGTGCATTAGCGAATCTCGCGGGGGCGAATTGATGAAATAGTGGAAGCAGGTGGTGCCACTAATATGCCACTAATCCTAAGCGAGTAAGTGCAGACTGGCTAGCGGTTATTCTCGTTTCGTCATGCGCAATGTCGGAGACACTATCATTTATTTATATATCGTATACGAGCAATAAACGTTACGGTTCAACCTGGACGTGATCATTAAGTGCGCACCAGCTGCGAGGGCCGGTTGAGTCTGACGAATTCGGAATTACCGATCAATGGCCAATTTTTCGAATGGGGTATCATAATACGAATAGCGAAGCTTGTCTTTGGTCTTGCTTAAGAAAAATTAAAAAAAAAAAAAACACCTTTTTTTTCACTAAAAAAAAATCTTATCTCCACATTGAGCAACAATTTTTTCTCTCAAATCTGACACTACCTTACGCACGAATTGGGTAGCTACGAGTTTATCTACGTTAAATAGGATATTACAACCTCGAGCATATAATTACACATATTTATGATTATGGTTATAAACTGCGCGGTGTAATAATTAATAATATAAATTGATATAGATAAAAGAAAAAAGAGAGAAAAAAAAGTAAATTCCACACACACCCAGCCATTCTGGAATTTAAGTGATTTCGTTCCAGAGCGTGATCGCCGAATGGAAGTTTATTCGAGCGTGTAAAACATACCTCTTTTTTTTTTTTGTCTTTTCCTAATCTTCTTTTCTTCCGCATTCGACCTTCTCTTCACTTTCTCGACACGGTGTCCACCTTGAACTTCCGATCTTCGCTCCTACTCTACCTTTTATTTCCACTGCTGGCAGTATCCTTAGCTTTTTTCTCTCCCCTCCTCCTCCTCCCTCCCTCCACCTTCTTTTTACCCTCTTATCCTTTTTTCTGTTCCTCACCCCCTTTACATATCCCAAGCAGCATCCTTTGCTCGATTTCTTTTTTTTTTTTTATGTGTACCTTTTTTTTTATCATCTTCACCCTTTGGTCCTCGCACTCTGTTGCGTCGTCCTGGAGACGCTTCTCGTCCTCGTTAATATCACGCAACTAATCACCAACCCGTACAAAGGTACAGTCTTGCGAGATATATTTCTTACATAAACGAACTTCAGACAAATTCCAAGGCTCGACTCGTTACGCTTCACCGTTAAGTATCTTCTGCGCTCTCTTACGCAACGCAGCCGTCATATCTGCAGCGTATAAAACAACCATTGGAATATATATGCTTTCATTATTTCAAAGCACGTATAAATTTATGTGCATACCTACCAGCTTGCTCCGATAATTGACTATGAAGAAGTGCTCGGCGGGACAGTCCATTCAATTTACTCACCTTCGACTGTACGGCTACTTTACGGATTTGTTATTACTCGGGTTTGGAAGCGAGCTGACCCATCGACGGAGACACAAGTATTTCCAAATCCTGTGCTTATATCAGTATACCCGTGGCTACTGTATATGCTTGTTTTTTTTTCTCTCTCGCTCTTATAGCTCCACGACTGCTCTTATTTACCGTCGCTCCAGATACATCGCTAATCACAAGAGCTTCGTACCTTCACCGAGCGCCGGCGCTAACGTCGGCTTATGGATTCTTACGAAATAAGTCATTTCGTCGCTGCCACTGCAGCATGCGCGCGTATTAGCATGAGAATGCAATGGGGTCGTTCGAACTGACACCGAACGCGGGCCTCGGCAGTTGCGTTTTATGCTCGTCACATGGTCGCGCAAGAGAAACGTTTATGCAACTCTATAGATAGGTAGGATAAGTCAGGTTAGGTTGGCGCGTCGGCGATGCCAGTATAAGCTCGAAACAACCGGAAGAGCTCGAGCACCTTCGCTATGGTATTTTTTCGAAATAGAAGACGTCATTCACGATCCACTTTGAAAGGAAGGATGCATGGCGTCGCGACGGGCTTTCGTACACATATATACATATATGGTTAGCTAGGCTAGACACTCGTTTATGACCTCTGGTATTTCGTGCTCGGAAATTCAATGCATTTACGAATTGTGCCGTCACTTTTTTATACGAGACATTTAAAATGGCGACGTAAACCGCCCGTACTTCGTTACGGCGTTTGATCTCTATTGATTGAGAATTTGCCACGCTTCGATAATATCTTCGGGGCTCTGACGTTTATCGCTTACGCGCGAAATGGCTTCGGACGGACGATCCGAAATTTTCGATCGAACTTGGATCGTCGACGATATCTTATCGGATATCGGGTACGAGCGGTATTATCGATTGAAATGTATTTGCCAGGTTTTTTTTTTTTTTTTTGGAATTTTCTTTATCGTATTTAGACATTTTTTTTTATATGGGTTCAGAAAACTTTTTTTGTATCCTATATTATGTCTGTCGAGTGACTAAGCAGAGGAACACGAGGAACTATTCTTGATGTTTTAACGCTCTAATTACTCCACCTGTCATTACAGTGGTATACACTGTATTGGCGTATATGTTGGTTTTGAGATTTAAGTGACTTTTTTTATTTTCATCTTTTTATTGGGATTTCAAATAAAAAAAATTGTTTTTATCACATAATTTCAATCTTTCGATTTTTTAATCGTGGACTGTTTTATGCGAATTGGTGAAATTTTTTTGGTTATGAATTTTGGAAAAATGTCCACGTTCGAATTCGTGCCAATTGAGTCCACCGAAAACACCGTCGCGCGTGATACTGACGAACGTCTAATTTTGAGAACGTATCTTTAACCATCTTCAGAGACGCGGAAGCTTTTCCTGGGTTAAGGCAGAAGAGAATGAGAGGCTTTATTAACATCCAGGGTATCAGCGCGCAAGCTTTCCAAATTTAGTAAACCTTTAGCCTTACACTGCTCGAATTCCTCTCGATATTTCTTCGGTATAAGTTTAATTGACATATCGAGATTATCGAATGTCTATGCGTTAAAAGAAATTCAAAAAAATCGCCCCTCGTAACCTATTTTCTGTCATCGCTATCTTTTACTTGACTACATAATCACGATTCGCTCGTGCAATATTTCGATGCACGATAACAGATTTAATGATCGGACGAATAAATCATTGCCGATATTCTTTAACTCGATCGCAAGATTAATCGTTCGTCGTGCCTCCGCGTCATCGATCAACTTCGCCTCTCGATAGCCAAAGGGAAACTGACCGATTGCTCTAGGCTTATTATTTTCCATTAAATCCCTCTCGGTATCTTCTCTTCTCTTCTCTCGTCCTTTGAGAATGTCGCCATCCTGTGTACACGAAAATCAAATTGACAGAAATTACATTTCATTGATACTCCTTCACCGTACACGCTATACCATATACATGACATATACATATAACGCAGATAATACGTGCACACTTATATTGCGTCGACGTTATTTACTGTTTGACAATTGCTACTGCTGGTACGTGACGCAGCTAATTTTGACAAACGAGTAGCCGAGGACACTGGCATACTAATCACGATGCACGTATAAAGTCTAGTCTATTTCTGGAATCGCCTCTTGGCGTAACCAATTTCATCGTGAACGTTGTCCTAGACGTCAGCCATATTGTTACGTCAGCCCATACACGTAATCAGTAGGATTCGATCGGTGCACCGATTTTGTGGTTATGTCGACTTTGCTTCTTTTTTTTTTTTTCTTAAAACGACTCCTCCCAAGCTCATTAACATAGGGCACCGATATTTTTTCGTCTCATCAGTCAATGCGTGACTGATCTTTCGACGAGTGTATTCTTTTTCTGTTTTCTTATTTTTTCTTTGAGGAAAAAAAAAAAAAAAGAAAAAAGAAAGGTCTTCATTAAAATACATTCTGACAAGAACCTCGCACGTATCTTCTCGGACTGTGCACACGTGTTCCACGGTCTTCTGGGACAGAAGACAGTCCCGATGTAAAAAGTCGTGGATATTTTGGATTCTTCATGGTTTTTTGCTATAAAGGAATATCAACGCAAGTAAACTTCACCCCATGGGCGGGGAGACGTCGTGCTAGCAGCTGTCTAAAGTTCGTTAGGTCTCGCGCGCTTTTCAAAGTCCTCCTTGACAATCAACGGACGATTCAAAGTATTCTAATGTAATATTCTAATAAAGTTTTTCGGTGCATGGAATTGGTATTGGGCGATACTCGTTGGATTCTGAGCGGTCTTCGGTAAGTCAGGCTTTATTTAAAGAGCGGCGTGGGAGGGGCTGGCGGAGTGGGGAGAGGGGTGGAAGGGAGAGGGGTGGAAGGAGGGAGGGGAGGGGGGGAGAGTGTGGACAAATATAACGACTCTGGAACTACGTATAAAGTAAAGATACGAAAGGTGTCGAATTTCTCATGGATTCTCAAACCCACTCTGCTGTCCGGTTGATGCACTACGATATTCAAAGGGCAAATTAAGCCCGAGCACTGAATCAACGTAAACAGTCATGGCGACGGGGCAGCAGACCATCGTCGAACGTCTCTTCTCGTGTCGTCGCTTCTAAGCCGCCTGACGAACCTTGACCGAAATAGAAAATCCGCTCCCGAGCACCTTCGCGTTTCCTGCCTTTCTTTCGTTTCCTGCGCGTTTCAAACGCACAATACGCGCCTCTCTCGCCGTCTTCCTCTGCGTCCCGTTAACGAGTGACGCGCGACCAGCTTGCACGACTCGCTCTCGGCCGGTAAGTGTCGCTCGGCAGACGCCATTATGCAACCAGCGCGAAACCCAGCGCGCACGTTCCACCTCCATTGCTCTTTTTTTTTTTTATTCTCTTTTCACTTTAAACCAGACCCAAGGACTTTGCCATCCGATCGATTGCCAATCCGTGATAGAACCGGTCGATTGGCAGCAGACGTGCCTCCTTGTTTTCTTTTTTTTTTTTCATTTGCTCTTTTTTATTAATTCGAAGCTACCCCCTGCCCTCTTCACTCATTCACTAATCTTTTCCCCTCTGCTCGTTCTCTCGCTATATAAATTTTGACCCCCCCCCTTTTTTTTTTTGACGCGCAAATTCTCGTCTATAGGTCGCCCATGAAACTGATCGGTACGCACGCGATGCACGCTCGGCGCATACTTGGCCAATGTCAGCCGGTCTTACGAAAATAAATATTGGACGTCTACACGAAAAATAAAATAAAAAAGGTTCGCTGGATAAGAAATCGTGTGTCGTTGAGATGTACTTTTTAGATGTATTTCTTTGGCGTATTGGTATACTGGGTGATGTAGATGTATGTCGTATGTGCCGTTTGGGATGGGATTTACGTTGATATTTTTTTATTTGTCTTTGTTGGATATAATTATATTTTCTTGTCAGTAGCGATTAGAAATTCTTTTAGGGATATTTAGATACTTTGAAATCGTTATGGGTAGGTTTGGACCCTTTTTTTTTTTTGGACCTCTATTTTTCATCTCTTTTATCGTACAGGCTGTGCTGGAAAATTGTCTTCCCGGTAGTTAGTAACTTGGCTGTCTGAAGATCCGTGATGTAACGTACACGGTAGGCCACCGAAATGCGACGAGAACTTTCGTAAGGTATCGCCACGGCTGCTGCGACGGATGTCAAATAAACATACTTCGCTGCGTCTTCGCAAGCTTCTGGTATTCTAGCCGGCGTGAATAAATATCCCAGGAAGATTTACGATTATCATAAAACGCTATCGCAATTGTCTTTATCGTAATATTAATATTGTTAGGGAGCACCCTGTGGCTCCGGCAGTACCATGACTGTCAACGAGTTAGCTCCGATAAGGAAACGTTATTTTTCTTTCTTTCTTTTTCTTCGTCTTTTTTCTTTCCTCTCTCTTTACTTTTCCTCTCACGCGCACGATAACAGAACGAGGTGAACGCTCTCTACTTCGCGCTGGCATCTTCGGCCCGAAAATCACTGAGGATTAATTCGGCTTGTGATTGTGATTGATATCGTTGACGTCACTGAATCGGGAAACCACGTGGTCCTTAGGTTAGAATATAAATTCTTATGGTATTTGAGAAAAATATATTTTTTTTTTTTCTAATTTATCTTCATTACCATACTCGTGATTTATGTTAATTCTTTCGCGCGCAAGGTCACAGTTTTAAGCAGCTGATACAGTCTAAGCTATTGACGTCTATTCGCGGCTAATTCATACGCAACTGATCTAGCGCGCGAATCAATACACCGTGATTTTTTTTTTTTAACAATTAGATTTTGAAAATCGGCAAATTTATTTGTCCAATAAAATTCTCAATCGATACCGACCAACGCGTCACGAATACCTCGATAATATTCGATCAGACGAATATCCCTCTTTCGGAAGTTACAAATGATATCCGAAATGATTGATAAAAAAAATGGAGATTTTACAAATAAAAAGTAAATTTGAAAATTACCCCAAAATTTTGCTTTTTTTTTCACATATTTAATCAGTCATTAATTCATCGGTCATTAATTCTAACGAAAATTCACGTATGACAATTAAACAGTTTACCCATCGCCCATCCGATGCTCTTCCTGTTGTCACGAGACGATTTTTACTTCGACACGTGATTTCGCGCTACTTTACTACCCTTAGAACTATTTTTGACCACCCGTTACGAAATCAGACTTGCGGAGGCGCCAGGCCGTTCGATGGTCCCTCGTAGTCTCATGTGATCAGCGAAATGACGCGGTGATAAGTCACAAGATTCACATTCTAACTTATTATTATCCTTATTCAATTACTTTAATTATGGACAACTATTTTCGATTCTTACAAACTACTTGCTCGACGTATCCCTTGTCTCGATACTGGCATATAAAAATATTTTCTTTACTCCCATGTTTCCTCATCCTCGTTACAAAGCGTATAATAGATACGTGATGGGTATACCTGTTATCAGTTTGCACTGAAACGTTGCACTATATCTTTTTACCTTTGCGCAACGACCAAAAGCACAGTGACACTTTAATTACTTAATATATACATATATAAGGGCATTAGCGTACATACAGCCACCGGGATTGCCAATTGAAAATTTTTTAAGGTGCATCTGATATTCTTTATGTTTCCAAAAAAAATTGTATTTATCGGTTAAAATAATAATTTTTGAAAATTTCATATAATTTTCATAGACGGTATATATATATATATGACGCACAATACGATATACCAAGAATAATCCCAGACACAGTAAAGGAGAAATGGCAACGTTGAGCGAGAGAAGATTTCGTAGCTGGCAGCTAGTCTAAAATTGTTAGGACGGGTCATGCTTCCGCATAGCCTTCCATTTACCGTATAGTTAACGCTCGTTTCATCCTCTTACAGGATAGCCAGAAAGAGAATCCACAGATCGATTGAAATCTGTTAGAATTGAGCGATCGATGTTACTCGTATTCGTGAAATGCCAAGTAAAATCGATCGAATGCCTTTGGAATTCCAGGTCGTCCGCAAGTACCGTATCCTTGTATATACATATATATTATCGAACTATACGTAGCCTCTGTACTGTCTCGTGCTGAAACGTAAAGTATAACTATATATAGCCAGAGGAAGAATTCATTCCAGCAATGTCTATACGCTCGAACGCGAATGCCGAATATTGTAGTTTTTCGTATAGTTAAACCTAATAAGTAAAAATGATCTCTTAGGATCGCTTAATACGATCTGTGCTACGTAAGAAAGTTATTACAAGCTTTAAGCGCCTTGCGTCGATGTATTATATCCGTTATAATAATACTCGTGTAGCAGGGTAACATAGGCGTCGGTATTTCGTAGCTTCTTTTATACGAAACTCGTCCTCGTCTACTGGCTGCATATTTACGTACGCTCATTGTCAACGGCTACGATTCCTGCAACGACGTCACGCTCAGACGTAGCCGAGTGTCAACCGTGGGCAATCGACGGACATATTCACTTCGCCAAGGAACATAAATCAATGCGTGAAACCTTCGTAAAATCGTAATGCACATTTTGCCCATAGATAAATATAGGAATATACGTCTGGCTAAGATTTTCGATTTAGTAACGTTCAATTTTCTTACCGCAAGCGAGAATCAGTTACGAGCTTGACTCGCGTAGTACTCGTGACGCTGAGTCACTGTTATGAAAAATGCAGGCTGACAAGTTGCAACAGGTTTAACGTGCGTTACGTATCAATAGACTAACTCGCGTACGGCCAATAAAAATTAATTGTTCTCGTTTATTGATTCTTTATTGTGATTTTGGCAGAGGTGATTTTTATTATTTTTTTTTTTTTTTTCTTCCGTCACTTTCCCCATCTTTTACGCAGTCATCGTTACGTCACACCGGAATCGTATCTCCTTATGCAGTTCGTATAGGGACGTATACTCTATACGCAATGGCTATACTCGTGCACCTTGTGGATTGTTCTTTCTTTTTCTTTATATTTTTTATTCTTTTTATTTTTTCACGACAAAATGGCGACGCGCCGAAATACTCGCTGCTCGGCTGTCTTAAAGGCCGTAGCTAAAATCGTTCCTGACCGATGAGGAATGCTCTGACATTTCTCTTGGCGTCTCGTACCCGTGGACATCGCGGGACGACCATTCTTCGAGGCCATTTTGATTTAGTGATCTGGTCTTTTCCTGTGTCTCCCGTTGGGATTTTTGTGGTTGTTGTTCTTTTTTTTCACTTGTTTCCTTAGTCAGATAATTATTTTGCCGGCCGATATACATGATCTACGTAGTCATCGGCCGAAATGTAACGCGAGAACTCCGTGGGAATGGTTTTGCGACGCTTTTGATCGCGCGTGACGTCACGGGAGACCCGGCCACGCTTTCTCGTCAGGCTTCGTACTTCGAGTATTAAAATCCTTTCAATCTTCGCGCGGTACGTCGACTTGCCATTTGTTTTACCCGCAGTGTCCCCCAGGTACTTTGTCACTCGAATGACTTTGTCGGTTCCTCGTGATTCTTTTATAACGCGTTTAATATTGCGATTTGATTCCCTCGAAAGTCAGGTTAATCATTTAGTTACTTTATTCTATTATTTATTATCTCATTATTCTCTCAGGCTATCTCGTCGAGATGAACTTGTCTGTTGGCGTTTGTTATCTAACATTTTTATCAACAAATCTCTTACTTCCGCTATTAGTATAACAGATTCGTGTGGGATTTTACATGGAGCCTCGATACCAATGTTGCGATAATGCTTTATTTATTGGTCCCTATCGAAGACAGTAGACGATAACGTTCATTACTTTTGAGATTCTACAGGGTGTCGAGAAACGTCTTGTCTCGCGTCAAGAGCGAGGAAGGGTCAGTTCCTAATTAGCCGGGTAATTAAATTGGGGGAGTAAAAAAAGTTTTTAGCTAATTTTATAATTAGATATTTTCGCTAATTTTTAATTATGCTTTTTTTTTATTAACTAACTTTTTTTTAAGCATTTTATGGATAAAAAGGGTCATAGGTCACGTCCTACTCCTAAACAGCCAACTCGTAATGGATAGGCCGACAGATAAGTGTCGAAATTCTTCCAACCCTAGACTCGCTTCCCATCACTAGATTAAACTCGGGACGCGACGCTAAGTTTAGCGTCGCGACGACCGAGGAAGTCCAACGCTAGACCACGACGCTCGGCGTCGGCTCATTTTCTCGCTTTACTGACTCATCGCGTCCGCTACTACCACCTTCCGCAGAAAATACTCTTCTATTATTGATACCCGTGAGAATTTGGATCAGCCGATCTTCTTAT